AAGTGTCATCAACGTAACGACAGTAGAAGTCAAGCTTATCAATAGCATCTTTGAGAGGTCCATTTTCTAGTTTCGCGAGAAAAAAGTCCGTAAGGATAGAAACCAGAGGTGAACCCATCGCTCCATCGTTCCATGTAACGTTGATTTAAGCCTTTATTATTCTTATCAAAACTAGTACACCTGTCATCACACTATCAATTTGTACTTTTCACATATTATGTTTATTTATGTAATCTATTCCATTGTTACCATTGACTCATAAACTACCTTGATTGGTTTAATAATTTCGTATATGCATATAAATATTGCTGTAGATTAGAGTAAAGCCTAATGACGATCTAATCGAAAACAATATTGTTCGCTTATATATGTTGTTTTAAATTACAATATGGGAATTTTTCAAATTTTGAACTGCTTCTGCCATTCTTACAATAATAATAATAATAATAACAATAATAATAATAATAGTAACTATATTTATTATTATTATGCTTACTTCACTCTCACACACTAATTTCTATTCATTTTTATTATACTCAACTTTCTCTGTCTCTTCACAATACCATTTTTATCGTGTGCCCCATATGTAATATGGTGCTCCTTTGTTCCAATATTTATACGTTTAAGTAAATAAATGAAATAATCTAATCACATGTAAGTTTGTGGCTACATATACATGAGGAAGAGAAACCGTGATTTGCAATTTCGGGGTTTTTCAACATTTACCGAAATGGCTACAGAAACTAATAAAATCAAATGACATAATCGAACCAGATGATAAACCTCCATCGTCGTCTATTGCTAAACAGTTAGTTGAAACAGGTTATAAGATTGATCTTAACTCAACCTTTTTGGTTTTGAACAAAAATTGTCTAGGGGATATTCTATAGTTTTTTGGAACCTTGGCCAAACGAAAATTCAAACTCCTTTTATTTGTTCAAAGACAGCTTTTTCTCACTCTGAATTTACCCTGGTAATAATATTTTACTTATCCAGCGTGATGAGTTTCATATCATTTCAACATTCTTTTGTTTCTCATATATGAATGTTTTTAACAAATACATTTGTGATCAGATTGTTTGAAATGAATTGCCTTAATAGTTCACATAGTTCTGATAATCATGATATATTGTATGATATTTCACATAAGCTTTTTAATTGTATTAAGAAATTTACTTCTTAAGAGAAAGATATATTTAGGTTTATGTTGTTAAATAATTTTAGTATGTTTCTTTTTTATCAAGGCAAAGACCTAATTGAACGTTGGTATCAAGAATCGGAAAAATATAAGTTTAACTCTGAGCCGGATAGTATCCAGGGTATAGGTAATTTGTATGAATTTGATGACTTTATATTCTGTTATAATCGTGTGATTTATGTATCTTGATAAATTTTTGCGAAATCTATAGTTTTCTCAGATTCATATATCATGATTTTAATCGTATGTTTTTACCCAATTGTTTATGGTCAAAAGATTTTTCATTTCAAAAATGTTGTTTGAAGGAATATCATTACCAAATCCCTTATATACATTAGAACCTTATCATTCAGTAAATTTTTTTGTGTAATTATCCTAGAGCAGTGAACTTTAATCTAGTTGTAGAATAGATGGAAGATGGCTAGTATTAGGAAAAGAGTTTCGTCCCATTTTCGATTCATCACTTGACCAACGCGATTGTATTTGGAACAAACGGTGTTGGGTTCGAGTCCTTAGAGGGAACATCAAAATAGGACGAAATGCGTGTCCCGGATTCCAATGCTATCTGCATTCTATTTATTCGATACCAACTTGTCGTAATGTTTATATCAAGGCAATACACACAAGATGCCCATATGCCAGCCAAGACTGATAAAATTTCAGTTGAAAATATAAACAACGGGATAATCCAAAACCATTTCAAATCTAATTTAGTTGATTGGAAGTACGATTCTAACCAGTATTTTTTTTATTGAGAACCACTAGTTCAAAATGGAAAGTGCACTTATTTTACACTTGAATAAATCCTCACATAAGCCCTGTTTCTATATTTGCGTAAATATAAAATCCTCTTCAATGATATTTTTGTAGTTCAGAAAATAATTAGCCTGGAGAATTGTTAAACCTTTTCTTTGTCAACTTAGTTAATATTATTCAGCAAGTCTCATTTTCTTTGTTCTGGGTATATTGTCGGAGGGCTAACACTAATAGTTAACTTAGTATAGGTCTCTTAAGTTCTCTCTATGGTTTGAGTGATGAGATACGACGAACCAAAAACATCTGTCACCTATACGTTGTAAGCTGGTCAAGAAGTCTTTTCACCATGTATGGCACTGGAAGGTGTACTAAGCAAGTGAATCAACACACTAAAGGGTTTTTACTTCACTACCGTTGGTAGGATTAGGGCTCGTGATGAACTACTGTCCCCCGAATTAACTACGTCGAAAGCTCCCTTTCTTCACCACTGGCCATTAATTTCGTCTCACATATGGTCCCGAAGATATGTATTTCTGCATCTCGATTTTTCAAGGTCAGAATAGTACTAGATAGCAATAGGATTTTTCACTTAACGTTATTTGAGTTATATATTATAAAAACTGCCTGCGTTGCTCTCTTTCGATGGATTTATGTATTGACACTAGGAATTATTTAATGGGCAAAATAATGGATTTCTCAGGTTCACGGTGTAAATGTAGTTGCTTAGTGACTGAATGAAAAGTCTCTGCCATCAAATGACTAGTTCCATCGTCACTTCCTGTTATTGGTTAGTATCATTGATTTATATCGAAATTGTATTTGTTTATATCTGAGACCTAAAACACTACGTTGTTACGTAATTTGTATTTATTATCGATCATCATGTTAATTGCTATAGGTAATTTTACTCAAATTGTATGGTCATGTTCTGAAAGGATTGGAGTTGGTATTGCAAGTCAATCCTACAAATCAGGAAAGGACTTGCATAAAGATTCGAAACTGATTTTGGTTTGTTTGTATCATCCTCCAGGAAATGTGACAAGTCAATTTCAAAATAATGTTAAAAAAGCTGCCAAGTAAAATACAGACGCATAATTTGAGCAGTTACTGAAACCTTTAATCAAATGAACAGATATATCCCATCGCATGCTGCTGTTCTCCAAACAACCTTTCTGAATTACTAATATTTTTATTTTTAATTATCATGTTTCTTCAAAAGTTATTTTATGCACCATCTAGATAATTTTAATATTCTTATTGTTTTGTTCATTTTAATCTTACGTTACTTGGAATGTATCAATATATTTTAAAATTGATTTCGATAACTCTAAACATTGAATACAGGACTCAGTAGCTGAGTGGATAACGCGATGGCATTTGAAGCGAACGCTACTGGGTTTGAGTCCAAGAGTGAACATCAACTCAGATGCAGGTACACCCAGCTGACGAGTCCAAAATAGAAAGAGACATGCGTCATCCACTCCACTGCTAGTAAAACATTGAATATTAGATAAATTAATGTACTCGTAATACAATAACTTATCTTTACATCGAGATTTCTATATGATAAGATTTTAAACTATCGTTTTCAATATATAAAAACAATTCACTTGGATTTACTAACTACCAATTATACTTCATTGGAGTTCAATTAAAATAGCTTTGTTCGAAAGCTGTTACAGTCTAAATAATCCTTCCTTTTTTTAAAAAAATGATACCATTCGTAAAGTGATTATCAGAACTATTTGAAATACAGGTAAGAGCCAAGTAATATTTCGGGTAACGATGGGCCTATTTTCGTTAATATGATTATTTTTAAGTTAAATAAAGCTAGTGAGCATCAAATTATTACTTTTATGTTCATGGTGTTTTCAGTAACTACAACAAAGACCTACATATTTGAAACATCTCAAAATATAGTCAAAACAGATCCGAAAAAAATTGGTGGGCTGTCTAATCAGATGAAAACTTAAGTTTATGGAACAAACAATACAAACTTGATTCTGACTAGTTACTTGCTAGAGTTATAGAAGTATAATGTACATGTGAAATAAAATGCAGATTTCTTCTAATATATTTCTACCAAACAAAACAACCAAAAAAATGTCCTATGGAGGTAAATCTAGCTTCATACCAAGCTGCATTTGCACAATATCTCTCTAGGTCAAACTAATGAGGAAGGTAATATAATAAGTTTTTTTGTATGTGAACCCAAAAGTTTGGTGGTATATCATCTGTGAGGAGTTTTACGAATTATAAGTAGTTGCTGATATTGGTTCCTCTTGGCCTTATTTGTTTGCATTTTAGAAGAGTTAAATGCCATCTTGTTTTGTAATAATTGCTATTTGTTGTTTTAAAAGATCGAACCGAGGATCAACAAGTTTCGCACATTACTGGACGACTTAATTTGAGGTTAAAAAAATCCGTAATCGTAACTTTAATCAGTCCGCGAAGTAGCGCGATGACCATCCATTGTAGGTGACGATAACTATCTTACTCCTGACATGACTAAGCTCAGTTAACAGTATCATCGAAAGTCAGACAACACTGGTCGGTCATTATTATTTAATAGTATATTTTATTAATATTCAGATAATTATACCTTGTTTGAAACTGGACTGCCGATTCGTTATGGCTGTTAATTTTCCTGCCCAATAATTATTCTAATTTTCGAAAGATTAATTACTACGCAACTTCTCACCTAAAATCCTTTGATTACACATAAGAATACCACTATTCACATTTTCGTAATTATAAGAAGTGTCCACTTTTTGATGAGATTCGACGTAACATGTAAAACAAACGCATTCTGCATGTTGCCAACTGTCTACATTAATGCGGCACTGTCATGATTAGTAGTTCATACAGGATCCATATCGATTTTAAAACCATTACATTCCATAACCAAAGTAATTGTTACTTCAGAATATCACTCATCGGACATTAAAAACTACGTGTTTAATACTACATACGTCAATCAACTCGCCGCTTGGGCAAAAGCTTCTTACAGGACATTTACTATAATTAGATTACCTTAAATAATACTGAACAATCTACGAATGTTATATTTCATATTACAATGTAGATATTGATAACTCATAAAAAGATAAGTAATGTACATGATACTAAGAGTTTTTGTTTTGTTTAACAAAACGCTCTATATCTTTATCACGTAGTAAGGCTGCAGACTTTGATATTGGTCTGATAATACGACCTGACTGAACTGTAACTTTGGGCCTTGTTAGCTCACGATGTGTAAGTTCTGTTGTCCATTCTCTACAAATAGGCTGAGAGATAAAAGCTTCAAATTGTTCTGGTGTGTTGTATGGGAACGGAATAGTTTTTACCTAGCAAAGATTGAAGTGAAAAAATTAACGGACGATTGCAAAAAACCAAAGACATTCATGAATATATATATATATATATATATATATATATATATATATATATGACATACCAAGTGTTGCTTGAAATCTTGGTTTACACGCCGTTTGATGATTACGTGAGGTTTTTTGTCATCTTCACGTTTTACTCTAGGAGCAGGTATAATTCTGGATCTCCGCTTTCTTTCATCAGCCTTTTCAGTTCCTGGACCTGTCCAGGAATTCCATCCAGGCAGAAATGTATCAATATCTTGAGGTGCCTCATCTTTTACAGTTTCAGATTTCTCTGCGGAAAACTTCTGTTGTAATGCAGGATCATTTGCAAAGCTTTCTTGAAGTGCATGGAAAAACCCCTCTGAATTGGGATCAACTACATCTGGTTCTGCAGCCACACTAGTATTGCACACTACTGGTTCACTTAAAATCATCTGATTGACTTCATATTTTTCTAGTACTTCTTCAGCTGCCTGAGTGGAAAGCACAGCTCCAACAGTTGTCTGATGTTCGGTCTTCGATTTGTTCTTGGTTGAGCCCTAAATGAAAAAATAGATGAGAACATTTATGACCACTCAACTATCTGAAACTGAACTATAATACATAATTATCACTTATTGAAAACATGACTGGGTATTTCTGAGTTTAAATACGGACACTGCAAAACGAATACCGATATGAAACCCAGTCGAGTAAGTTGGATTTTGTCGTAGATAGAAGTTAGGAGCCACACAGAGAAAAGTAAAATACAATAATTGTTTAATCTATAAAGTCTATAAAAGTTATGCACTGTATAGGTAATCCTTATCAATAAATTTAAATTACAGTAATCAAAAGAGAAAACCATAAGGATATATGTATATATGCACCTTTCCACTTTTGACCATTTTATGTGAACCAAACTACACGAACAAGGTATATTTCGTCATAATTACACTACGCGATGTCAGTGGTAGGTTACGCATATAATAGGACGCAGTTTCAGGTTCAATTGCAATCGATAAACTTCAAGTGTAGAGCACGAAGGTGAACTATGTAGTAAGACAAAATTATCTTTTCATGCAAATTTCGAAAATCTATTATAGTTGTACTATTGTACGATGCAACCGTACACAAACACAGAAAACTAATGAACTGGCTGACTAAAAAAAGTAAGCACCATAATATTAGACAATCATATAAAGTGTGGAAATGGGTACAGATATATATTACTTCGAGTTGTCAAGCTTCAACATAACGGGAGAATTAACAAGATGAGAATCAAAAAGTTAACAACAACGGTAGTGGAGAAATAACCACAAGAAATGTAGTTGATATGTGATCCCTGCTAACATGAGATTTCGAAAAGACTAGCTTTTCGGATAATTGGAAGAGTTGATTGTAGAACGCACTCATTAGTTTATGCATCAAGAATTTAGCTACAAGTTAAAGTAACTGATGATTAATTGTGCTACCCGGTTTCACGAACTAAAATAGGGTTCGAACCTATGGCCTGGTGGTCGAAAGTCGAACCACTAAACCATGGCGTAGCCAATATATGCATAAAATATATACTCCGTTATATTTCGTGGATTTCCTAGAGAGAAGCGAGCGAAAATATTCATGTCTTGCAAAAATATACGTTGACCAGCTAGTATATGTTGAAAACGGATCATATTTTACCTTTTTCCACCAGCCGAGGGTTTGAGTAACTCCATTAACTTCCTCGTCGGCATCATCGTCTAAATTAAAATCAGACCCTTCTGATTCCCCCTCAGATCCAGATGATAAAGATACATCAGATTCATCAGTATCAGATAGAAGGTCGGGATCAGTCCTTCTTGTGGTCTCCCTAGATAACTCGTGCATGTCTGCTACAGCTGCTCTAGCCTGGTAAGTTATAAGTAAGATTAACATATAGCTACCTCAGAGTCATACTTTGCTCTCAACTTCTGTAATTTTGCAAACTTGCTACCACCTCTATGTTTCAGACTGGCTCTTTCTCTGACTCTACTTAATTCGGCACTGAGAAGACGTTCAGCGAATTTCCGAGGATTATTGATCCGCAATGACTCCGTTTCTTTTTCATATTCTTTCATAGTACGTGCCTTCAAGTGACGATGAAATCGCTTGCTTTTAATTTTATTTTGACGCTTGTTACGAGCAGCAGCTCGAGCAAGTAAGAAACGTTCTCTGTCACGCATAGCGACTTTTTCCAGTAGCATCTTGGAAACCATCTGCGCTGCCTTTTCTGGAATTTCTTCCTGAGGTGTACTAAGAACTAACAACATGAAAAAAGACTAACCTTGTGTCCATATCTCTATACAATGCATTATATAATTTCCCCTGTAAATTTGTCAAATCTTTTATGGTATCCTTGACATAAACTTGCTCTTTCATTTTTGCAGCCTCTTGGGAGGCTGACATAACGATTTCTCTGTCATTTATTGGAAACACGATTTGTTCTGCAAGACGATTTTTATGTACTGGGCCTTTCCAGAGATTAAGCTGACGTTTAACTCCTCTGAAAGCTATCCTTCTGGCTTGTCTTGCGTCCTGAATCTCATCAGTTTCATTCAACACCTTGTTGTGTCTGTGGAACTCATTCAGAATTTTCCTTTGGGCTTTTTTATCACCTTTCTTTAAACTTATGAGACCCCATACGTTAGCATCCTCAACTCCAGGTGCTGCACACTAAGGATTTTGAAGCTTAATTTTATGCAGACAACTAACCTCCAACATTGTTAATCAAGGAGAAAAACGAAACAATCACTTCCGTTTGATCAGATACAATGATATCACGACAGGATGCTAAGGGGACTGGAATATGAACGATAGTGTTCAATAAATCCATAGAGAAAAACTGCTTTTAGATGATATTACACAAACTTACATAAAAAAAGGAAAATAAGAACTGAGTTCAAAACACATGAGACTTAGGAGGTATATAATAAAAAGCTCGTTTAATTTCCAGTTTGGAAAGAATAGAAGGCTTGATGGCCTGTGTTAGCCGGGCTAAGAGTCGACAGATGGAGCTCCAATCACGTACTGAAGTAGTGAATTCTACTGGTTGATGGCTCAATGGGAAAGTCGATAGTAATCTGACTAATTTGTTCTAGGCTCGTGAAATTTTGTGGTGTCCTCGTAAAAGATAGTTTTGTCATTTCAGATGTGATTGAGGCTGTCACCGTCCTTCAAAACATCAGCACCAAGAATATCAATCAATCTACTAACATTCGAGATTATAATTATTGGATACTAGGTACAAACGCTAAATTTACTAAAAGTGAACGGCAGGTCATTGCTAGTTATGTACAGTTAATGACTGAAGAATGATGTATGTTATGAGGAAAATATTAACATTTTATCAATCACCAAACAATTTAAGTTATAAAAATCTCAAAACCACAAGCTCATGGCTGGAATGCAATTCATATCTGTATACAAACCTTATGAAATTTCAAAATCTGCTACATGTAATGCCCCTGATATACCAGATTTCTTAGAAAACGCACTCAAGATAAAAACAGTTTTGAAATTTAGACACAGACGAAAATATAAGGTGTTAAATGACGGTAGAACACTAAAAACCCATGAAAAGCCTGAGCAATATACCTAATGGTAGCCCAGTTTTCGAAAGACTGCTCTGAGCTTTTCAATAATCGAGATGACATTGTGGAAATGCTTAACATTAGCTGATTTTGTAAATAAACGTTCTTATAACACATATTTTTAATAATGCCGTTTTATTTTTCAAATCGTTGCTATTGTCCACAGACTAGCTAATTATTTTCGACCGAATCGAACACAGTAACTAGTAATGTACAAATTTATGTCTGTGCATTTATATTTCCACATTATCAAATTAATGTCCCTTTGATCCGACAAATTAGCCATTACACTGGTATTCTCACTCTTTTGATCAGTCAACTTTGTTACCCAAACTTAATATGGTATGTCGAATAACTTGCGTTCATTCTCGCAATTATTATTGTTTTGAAAGGCCTGCATTCTAAAAAAATTTCCTACTGGTCAGGGTTGTAATACCTTAAAGATGCCACAGGTATTCGGTGTATACGTCACTTTAACCAGTAACAACTTCTATTACTGAAATGTGCCCGCCCAGTTCAGTTTCAGTTTGGGAAGGACAGGAGGCTTGATGGCCTGTGTTAGTTCTGACAACACTGGTCTCTCAGTTGATCCAACTTTCTTTTGAAAGAGTCGACGGATGGAGCCTCAACCACGTGCTGAGGTAGTGAATTCCACTCGTTGATGATTCGATGGGAAAGTCGATAGTCAGCTGACAAGTAGTTTGTTCTGGGCTTGTGAACTATTTTGGAGTGTCCTCGTAAATTCTCTGCTTTGGGAGACAAGAAAAATGAGGGCATATTAGGTGCAAATTTATCACTAATCAATTTGTAGACTGTAATCAAGTCGCTTCTATTTCTACGATATGACAACGGGAAAAGGTTTAGCTTGGCCAGCTGAGAATCATATGGAAGCTTCGCTATTCCGGGAATCAGTTTAGTTGCTTTTCTCGACATGACTAAAAGCCCTACGTAATGACCATAAGGTTCTAAAACCTTTGGCGGCTATTGCACGACAGTGTGCAGTAGTCTTCAGGTCTTGGCTGACGATAACTCCTAAGTCATTATATGTCTGGACGACAGGTAGCTCAGTGTTATTCATCGTGTATGTATCTGTGCCTTGACGACCGATATGCATCACAACACACTTGGAAGTATTTATCGGCAACTGCCATGTTTGAGACCATTCAGATAACTTCTTCAGGTCATTTTGAAGTTCTAAGCTATCACTCTTACATCGTATCGTTCTCCATATCTTGACATCGTCAGCATATAGCAAGACCGATGATGATAGGAGACAAGGAAGGTCATTTACATACAAGAGGAATAGCACTGGCCCCAAAACTGTACCCTGGGGCACTCCACTAAGCACAGTTTCCCAGCTAGATAACTTTGAGTTCACCCTTACTCTTTGTTGACGCCCAACTAAGAAGTCTTTTATCCACATCAATAAATTACCTCCAATCCCGACATGTCTTAACTTATATAACAGCCGGTTGTGTGGAACTTTATCAAAAGCTTTACTGAAATCAATGAAGGCGACGTCTACAGGTAGCTTTTGGTCCTTAAGAGCACACCAGCTTTCACGAGCCACTAATAAGTTAGTGAGACAAGAATAACCTATTCTGAAGCCATGCTGCTTCTCCGAGAGGATCCGGTTTTTATCGAGATACTTAAACAGCTCCTTCCGAATAATCTTTTCTAATATTTTAACAACCACACTAGTTAGGCTAACGGGGCGGTAGTTCTCAGGTTTGTGTTTCGTGCCTGTTTTGAAGACAGGACTTACTATGGCGTTTTTCCAATCTTTCGGTAAGCGACCCTGCGTAACGGATAGGTTAAAGCATGTACTTAAAGGGTTCGCAACGAAGTTAGATAATTCCTTCAGTAGCCTAGGATGTAATTCATCGGGCCCCGTGGATTTACCTACGTCAAGCTTATTTAGCAGACCAAAGACATCGAGTTCTTTAATGGTCACGCTATCCAGTGTATGTATGGGGGGATCTGTATACGCTGACGAGAAGGGCGCTTCTATGGTATACACGTTGCTAAAGTAGTTCGAGAACGCTTGAGCCTTACCAAAGTCGTCCTCCACTAATGATGAAGCAGTACTGACTCCCCATAGAGCAGGAATATTTCCTTTTCTCCTTGTCCTTGGTTTATATAGGAATACAAGCGTTTAGGACATTCTATGGATTCCTTAACAATTTTTTCTTCGTACAACTTTCTAGACTTACAGAGGGTCGAGGCACAGCTATTCCGAGTTTTTCGATACTGAGATTTTGTCTCATCAGTCCCCAGTAACCTCAATCAATTCCACATTTTTCTTTTCTTACGGAGAAGGATGCGGACCTCCCTACTGAACCATGGTGGGGAGTTTCTCAGCCCCCTTGGTATAGTTCAAGGGATGTGGTGACTTTTAAGTATGAATTTCGAAATGCGTCCCAGGCCGTTTCAATTGAGGACTCTGGGTCTATTGTCCAATCTACTAACGATGCTGAGTGCATGATATCCGGTATGTTTGCTTTCCATACGTTAGGTCTGGATTGACCTAACGCGTGCTCGTGATTGACAGTTATATGGAAGTCGAAAGTTAAAACTGTGTGATCACTTTTACCTGAGGGTGGCATATAATGGAGATTCGCAACGTCATCCTCATTGTGAGTCAGTATAAGATCTGGTAAGATGATTCAGTGTCCGGGTCGTACCTTGTCGCTTCTTGCAGATGTTGCACTAGGGCACATGAGATAACCCCATCAACTAGTTCCTGCTCGAATAAATCATCTGACAATTCAGTTCGCAAATTTTCCCAGTCTACCATATGTGCATTAAAGTCCCATAGGATTGGATATCGACCACTTTGTGACCAAGTATTGAGACTACTTGACGGGATCTCATTTACCTCACAGCTTGGACTAAGTTAGACCAAACCAATCAGCAGCTCTTGTCCCTTGCATTTCAAGTGGCAACTAACCAATTCACACGTCCCACTCTCATGCGATACACAGTCGATAATGGAAAACGGAATAGCATTCTTAATTAATAGAGCTACTACCCCTCCTTTACGCTTTTGTATTCTGTTGGTCCTTACTAACGTAAAACCCTCGAAATCAAGTTCCATACTATCTATAGCCTGTGTCAGCCAGGCTTCTGTAACTGCGGTTGTGTCTGGCTTTGTAGAGTCAATCTGTACACCTAGTTCCGGTCGATTATCAAGTAAGCTTCGGGCATTGGTGTAACAGATCCGAAGCCTGTTTAAGTGGCTTCGTGCTTCACCCAGAGTGGCTTCGGCATCATTCTCTGTCGAAGCCTTACAACCCGAAAATTTACAATTTTCAGGTCCTTTTCGCCAGCGTCTTACCTAAGTTGTAGTTCTTTTTCGACCTACCGTCTTTTAACACGGTCTGCCGACGGTAAGCCCCTTCGGATAAAGACTCCTGAACTCTTTAATTTGTGTCCATTCTGTAAAATTAGGTCGTGTTTGTTCGAAGATTTGAATACTACTTTAAGCAGTCTGGAATGATTTGGTTTCAAATCCGCTAGACTCCTTAGTCTGTACACCTTTAGCAAGGTGACCCCGGTGATATTTTGAGGTATGAGCTGATTTAGCAGCTGCTTAGTCAGCACAATGTCATGCTCAAAACGAGCTTTGAGTTCGGAGCTCTCACTCTTCTTGATTCTATGAAAAATAACTGATCTGTCACTGTGATCAGATTTCGACTTTTCAACTACTTTTACGAGGGCAGAATTCCCTTTTATATCGCTACGTTGTTTCTTCCTTACAACCTGCACCCATTCGTCAACGGTGCTAAGAGAAGCAACGACAGTTGCGTCAAACCTACTATTGGATTCCAGAGGGTTGTCGACGACCTGACAGGTCAGGTTATGTTTACCGCATGAAGCCGATCGAGCCTTGAGATTGCGGCTTCTAAGCGTTTCCCGCTGGATGCCATTTGTAAGACAGGGAACAGAAGAACCTTCTTTTCTTGAGTTTTTGTTTAAGACAGACCTCTTTGGAGACTGCTTTTCCTTCTTTGATCGGTGTGAGTCACCTATTTTCGAACTCACCTAAGTTTTCTTCATACCAATTTGCGTGTCTACCGAGCGAGTGCTATTTGATGTGTCCCGACTACGCTTGCTAAAACACTTTTTCGCAGAATCTAGCGGTGAGATGGGCACGGTTAACAAGCTGTTTGCACACGAACAGCACTTCTGACAAAGCCAAACGCAATCCTTTTTACTAAACCTTTTGAAAGCCGAAGGCGTTAAATTCATGAAAACGTCGTGGTACCAGAATTGGAATTAATCGCACTGCATGCCGCTTCCAACGGGATAACGACAACCCGAACGTTGGCAACTGCTCTTTTGCACTGTCCGGTCATTAAAAAGGGGTCCTTTCAAAAAAGAGAGCGAGATGCAATAATGCTCAAAGACAATAACCTATGACCAAAAAAGTGGAGAACTGTAGATTGTTAGGATCAAAAGTACTAACAGATACAGTAGAAAATAAGGTACTTCAGAGTACCAACGATAAACTAATTAAAAAACAGTAAACGATACTCCAGTCGAATACTTTAACTGAAGTAAATTCAATTAAAGTGGAAACAGTAGTCTTGATACGTAATAAACGATCAAAACAATAAAATTTACTCAGCGAGGAAAAATACCACTGTCTATTTTAATTAGCGCGCGAATTATATCAGAAGTCAGGAGCGAAAAGGCTCGAATTTTTACATAGAATATTGACATATCGAGAAGTGACCAAACTAAGCTGGCTAGCGGTTGTAAGAGAAGTGGAGCACGGCGTACTCACTCGTGATCTGGTGCGGATGGATGACCGAGCGCCTTCAGGTAGGTGAGTCCATTAAAACTAATGCAGCCAGAATCAAATATCGAAAACTTAAAGAGCTACTGATTTTGCGGATTTACTTACCACTGAAATTCGTTCCTACCACTTTCATCACCATTTTGGCGTCCTTGTCCCTTGTTTTCATGAATTTTGATCGGGAGAACTACTAACGGTCGCAAATAACATATCCCATATTTACAAATTTTAGTACATCTCTTCTGG